TTTGCTCCGTAAATGATCAGGAACAAACACATAACATACACAGCCAAATACTCGAAAGTAGCTAACTGTAGGTTTTATGTTCCATAGTTTCTCAAAGGGTGAAACAAATCCTAACCTTGGTTGAGGAAGTCTGTTGATCACAAAGGCTGCAGTCCTCATTGCTTCAGCCCAAAACCTTCCAGGTACATTCTTTGCATGTAGCATACTTCGACAAATTTCTGCAAGATGCCGATTTTTTCTTTCCGCTACACCATTCTGTTGTGGCGTGTTGTCACAAGTGTACTGATGACGTATTCGACATTCCCTTAGGTATTGAGAGAACTCGTTTGATCTATATTCTCCTCCGTTGTCTGTGCGCAAGCAACATATCTTCTTTCCCACTTCTCCTTCAGCTGAGTCTCTGAACTCTTTAAACTTTGAGAAAGTATCAGATTTTTCTTTCATAAAGAAAACCCACACATACCTGGAGAAGTCATCAATAAATGTTACCATGTACCGCATACCGCTAATTGATTGTTGCTTAACCGGTCCGAACACATCAGAGTGAACCAACTCCAACGGTTCTTTTGCTTTAAACTTCGACTCGTCATATGGTAATTGGTGTGCTTTACCATACTGGCATCCCGCACAGACCGTGTCTGTTCTCACGTCTAGTTGAGGAAGCCCCTTAAGCATCGACTTTTTCACCATCACACTTAGCTTGGAATAGCTAACATGACCTAACCGCATGTGCCATAGATCTGATGTCTCATTTTTCCTTGTCCTGTCTACATATGCAGACTCTGCTAACATCACGTAAATTGATTCCAAACGTCGTCCCTCCATTGTTGGTGTTTCTGAGATTTTGACGTCACGATAAACCTTCACGTCTTGGGGATCAAATAATACATAATGTCCTGATGATGTTAGTTGAGCCACATATAGCAAATTTTTCTTCATTCCTGGGACATGGTAAACATCTTGGAGTTGCACCTGATTAGTATTATATCGAGGCGTAACTATTGTCTTACCGATGTGAGTTATCGGTAACCTTGAGTTGTCAGCTGTCACCACCACACGACCTCCATTATACTCAGACAGGTTTTGTAACTTCTGTTTGTAACCCGTCATATGATTTGAGCAGCCAAAATCTACTATCCAATCATTCTTGTAGTCAATTCGTTCTGGTGTTGTTACCGTGAGAGCTAATTCTTCTTCCTCCGTAGCAAATAACGCTTCAGCATCCCAACCATCTTCACTATTCTCCTTCGAACAAGAAGTAGCAGTATTACTTTCAACAGGCTTTTTCTTGGTCCAACAGTCTTTTGCCATGTGACCCATCTTCCCGCAGTTATAACACTTGCCATCGAACTTTCTACTATTACCGCGATTCTTGGATGCTCTCCCTGAATGAGGGCCTCCCTTTCCTTGGTAATTTTTCACCTTGTCACCATCCTTTTTAGATCCACTGCCAGTATACCACTGAAAAGTGCCTCTGCTTTTGCTGGTGTAGAGCGCTTCCTCTTCACCCTTCAGCGAGACTCCTCCCATTTGCTTGGCTATGGCTTCTTGACCTGCAAGCAAATTTTCAAACTCAACAAGCGATGGCTGTGTCGGCCATCCCTGTACAGTGGTAACAAACCCTCGATATTCGGGTCTCAAACCATGGACAATTATTCTTTTTATCCTGGCTTCCCCAATAGTAGCTGTCGGATCTAATTCTGAAATTTCGCGACATATCGACTTCACCTTGTGAAAGTATTGGGCAACCGCCATGTCGCGTTGCGCCATTGATAGAAGTTCATTCTCGAGAAGTTGCAATTTTGTATCGTTCCTCTTCGAAAAGAGTGTAACAAAAGTGTCCCATGCTTCCTTTGGTGTTTTAGTATCCCGAATGTGCTCCAACATTTCTTCTTCAATTGTGGTCTTTAAAGCAAACATTGCTTTGCCTGTTTTAATTTTCCACTTTCGCAAGATTCCATTGGCATCTTCTGTCGCCGGTTGTGTAACTTCACCACCACCGACAACCTCCCAGAGGTCTTGATCTTGTAAGTATGACTCCATACATGTTGCCCACGTGTTGTAGTTTTTGTTGTTGAGCTTCTTGATCCCTCCAACTACTTGAAGATCACCCATCTTAACGTCAAGTCTTTGACTACACCGAACAAGCTTGAGTAACAAACGTGCAGAGTACTAAATTACTCTAAACACAAAGAAGCTCCAATAGGTTTGTAATAACCCCGACAATAACTCAAGAAATATTTTCTGATGTGGAAGATCAGTTAAAAACTGCAGCCACAGAGCATACTCAGAATTTCAAGAGACCTTAAAAACGTGGCTCGGATACCAATTGTTGAATCAAAATAGAGTAAAAACTCTAATTGATCGAGAAGAAGAAAAAACTCTTTAGAATAATCTCACAAAATTGCAAAAGGGAAGAACTCTTAAGAAAACTTTCAAATGCTTATAATTAAGCTTTGATTGTTGGATGATAAAACTCAAATACAAGTAGGGTATTTATAGGTTACAAGAAACAATTTAAACCACTCATTAAAATAAGCACTAAATAATCTAAACCATTGAAATTAAAACATGAGAAAAATACTTAATTTTCACCTAACTAAATTGATGTAAGTAATGACATCAAAACTAAATTGATGTAAGCAATGACATCAAATTAATTTAGATGTGAACTTATTTAGGCTAATATTGAATTTTCAACACACCACAAATTGCTTGGCTCCTTTTGTGAAAGTCATGGATGAAGAATTTGGTAAGCATTGCTCATATGTATACCCTATTTCACATCTTAAAACCATCTTGGAATTGACTTTTTCAGTTGTTTAGGTTAATTCCATGCGAGTTAGCAGTTTAAGATTTGCTAATCTTCTCACTTTGCCAGGCATTGTCAAGGGTACAATGACAACTACCCACTCTTATACCGGAGACCAGGTACTGTTTAATCAAACACTGCAGTCTACTGATAAACTCAACAATTAGGTTTCATGATAGATTACATGTCGAAAGAATTAATTGCTTCGGAAGACGAGAAAACTGAAGGTTTTGGTTGTGATTGTCCAGAGGCCTTAGATGCTTCACACCGTGACTTGAGAAGAGCCAGGGCTGCAGCATTGAACATTGTACCGACAAGTACAGGTGCTGCCAAGGCCGTCTCTCTTGTGCTTTCTCAACTCAAGGGCAAGCTCAACGGCATTGCACTTCGTGTGCCAACAGCTAATGTATCAGTTGTTGACCTGGTTGTGAATGTTGCGAAGAAGGGTATCACGGCCGAAGATGTGAATGCTGCATTCAGAAAGGCGGCCGAGGGGCCATTGAAGGGTTTATTGGACGTGTGTGATGTTCCTCTTGTCTCAGTGGACTTTAGATGCTCTGATGTTTCCTCTACTATTGACTCTTCATTGACCATGGTCCTGGGAGATGACATGGCCAAGGTGGTGGCCTGGTATGACAATGAATGGGGCTACAGGTAAGCTTAAAGCAAGCAATCAAGCTAAAATTGTTGAGGAGCCAAGTTGTCAACTTTTTAATCTTTTGTATTTGAACTTATACACTAATAACTGTTGCATTGTGATTGATGTTTGCAATTTACAGCCAAAGGGTTGTTGATTTGGCCCACTTGGTGGCAAACAAGTGGCCAGGCATGCCTGGAGCTGGAAGCGGTGATCCCTTGGAAGATTTCTGCGAGACAAACCCAGCTGATGAAGAATGCAAGGTTTACGAGGCTTAAGATTGCAATTTTCATTTTCAAACTTGGTTTCCATGGTCAGTGGTCAAGGTTTTCCAACGTTCATGTTATCATTTGTCTCGTTTTTTAATAACAGCAGTGTGACATGATGAGAATAATCAAAAACATTTGAATGCTTGAAGCTATAAAAAAAAAGTGGCAACAATCTTGGATTGAATTACTTGTTGATGTGTTTGAAATCAAAATCCTTCTAACATATAATAAACCTAAAAACCAATCCTTCGCCTTTGAACACATATGAACAGTGGCATAGTTAACAGTTAGGTACGTCCAATGAATGAAGTGGGAAGTAATTAATTGCTCCAGGTTACATTCCTATTGCTATTGTTCGTTTCTCTCCTCTTGAGAAAACTCCCCAACTCTTCATCCCCATCATTGTCTACTTTCCTTCTCTTCTGGCCACTTTTTGATTGGTCTTCTTTCTCATCCAATAATGACAAAATCCTCTGCAGTTGTCGAGTACGTGAGCTATCTGGACCGGTTCTTGAAGTAGATTCAGGAGCAGGACGTAACAGCTGCAATATCTGCAGAAAATATATGAGAAGAGAAACGAAGCAAGCAATCCCACAGATAAGAAATAGACTCCAGAAGCTGGATAGATTAAGTTGGCTTGTCTCTATCTCTGTACTCTCCAAACTTCAGGTGCTTTGCATCAGCCGCTTGTCATGTATCCGCTGCAAATCACTGTTCTCAGAAAGTGTTAGAATTGCAAATGACATATCGATTGCCAACGGAGAATCCCAAGGAAACGCCTAGGGATAAATCAGGCAAGCAAAAAACTAGTCAGAATATTACACGACTTAAAGGATGCCTGCCTGCCAATAACGGGGGCATTTCAATTCTTTGTTTAATGAATGTATGAATGACTCATTTATTAGCAAAAAAAAAAAAAAAACTTTGCCTAAAGATGCCGTGTCATGAAAAAACAAAAAATGGTCAATGATGGTAATGTGCATGTGACGTGATGTTATTCCAATCCTCAACGATAGAAAAGAAATACTCACAAAACCCCAGCCGCTTTTGGTAAATTCTTGACCGACGATCCTGAATTTGCACTGGCTCGAGAGAAAAAGCTCAACATATGGACGTTCATCGACTGCAGCAGCAACACCTCCATTTCCAGGACCACTTTCGAGGGCCGAAGCATATTCTTCAGGTGATCCAAGGAACAAGCCTAGATATGTCTAGTTCCTCGCTTTGATACCGCTCAGCAAAAGTGCCTACTTGATATCCAATAGGCTCATTATCAGTTACCAAGCTTTCAAGTCCTTTAATTGGAGAATATAAATGTTCCACTGTGAGGATTGATGTCAGACTTGCAGTGTAACTGGAGTTGATTATTAAAACCACAAAGAGACATATAATTAACACTAGACGGCCGAGCATGCTCATAGTATTCTCTCCTGCAAAAGGAATATAAAGTGGCCAGCTTAATCAAATTTATCATACATCATTTCTGCCCTGCCTTTAGCATTTTTTCCGTTTCTTTATAGTATGTGTGTGTGTGTGTGTGTGTGTATATATAATAGTGGAAATTTCACTTACTGTGGGCAAAGAACATTGTTGAGAAGCTAAACCTGCGAGGACAGCACACAAGTTGCAAATTATTATTATAGTAAAAAGAAAAACTTACACTGAGGACTATGACATTGATATCAAGATCAGAAAAGAGTGGTATGAGAAGGGGAGGGGGATGCTTTTGACAGCTTCCATTACTTTTTATTACATAATGCATCACTCAAGGATTTCTCTTTCCAGGTCCATTTCAAGATTGAAAGAAAAAAATTGGCCTCTTGCTCTTCATTTTGCTTTAAATGACATTTGATCCAACGTGAATAAATTCCTTCCCACGAAGGATTACATACACTATACACTTACACACTCCTATCCGACTTCCAAACATACTAATGCTGTCTGCATCCCAAGAAACTGTAAACAAAACCACTCACCATAAAATGGTTATAACTTGATATTTAGGTGGGCCCTAAACTCATCATTTATCCGGTGCTCCAGGATCCAAATAGAATGTGTTGGAAGGAAACAATGGCTCTATGAATGTGTTGGAAGGAAATAGAATGTCAATCAAACATAGCAAAACCATAATGAGGGATGGGACATTTAGTTTTACAAAATATGGTAACCATAAAAACTTGAGGCCCATAATTAAATAGGTTTACATTTGTTGTTAAAATTGTTGTATTTAAATTCATTATATCAATGATAAAAGAGAGTATTATTTAAATTTTGTTTTGAATTGGAGCATGTTCATTTATAATATGCGTATCGTTAATGATTAAGAATGATTATAAACATATATTACCTCATAATCGTTCTAGATTACTAAAAAGATGGTGTATTTTTTATTAGGGATGGACATGAGATTCAAATTTGATAAGTTTTGGTTTGATTCTATCTTATAGGATCATTTTTCTTAAATTTCAAGATTGAATCTTATATCTAGGGATAATTATAATAATACTCATCTTCATAAATTTTTTTAATTATCTTCTAATTATTTTATCAATTAAAACTAATAAATTTATAAATCTATATTTTTTCGATTAAGCTAAGGTGATTACAAAGTAGTATATGTTGTAATATTCTCAACTATTTGACAATGAACATTCAATTACCATATTATAGTCATTGGTACTCGAACCTGTGACCCCTAGAAACAACAACAATTCATTTAACCACTGAAGTAAGTTGGTTCGTACATGTATAAATCCATTTTTATGTTAGTTCAAATAAGTGTGATTTTTTACTTCAAAATCGATATTAGTATGTTTTAATACACTGTTCTAATTTCATTAAAAGAGTACAATAATATATATATATATATATATATTAATTGGAAAAACACATGGGTGGATTTGTTCAGACCCAAGCCCATAACGACACGATCCACGACCCCTAGCGGATCAACTTTATACATGAGCAACAAGCCAACAACACATTTACAATGTTTTTTGGCCCAATAGGTCAAACCCGGAAATTATTTTGCCCAATAGGGCACACTATTTTTTATTTTGCAATATACACCAATTGCTACAGTATAAAGGAAACTCCTCACATTGAAGAGACGAGTTCCGTTAGATTTATTTTTTATTAGTACCAGTTTAGTGGGCCTCACGTGGGCAACTATTTTAATGTATTTAATGGGATTCACCACGTCGAAGTGACAAGTCTCTTAAGAAATTATTTTTTAAAATAATTTACAAAGCTAATTAATTTTTTACAATAATAAAAATGATGGAACTTGTCACCTCGAGGTGACGAGTTCCGCTTGAATTAAAAAAAACTAGTTGTTTATAGTCTCGTAGGGCAATGGGCAACAACAACGATCAGTTGCCAACGATCACCATAGAACTCGTCACCTTAAGGTAAGGAGTTCGGTCTGATTTTTGAAATACCAGTCATTTATAACCGTTATGATTGAGGTTATAAATAGAGATTTGGAGTTTAGGATTTTTATTATATGTTTTTTTCAGAAAAATTGGAGAAAAAATCACACTTTCCAAAGAATTCCCTAAAAATGTCTTAAAGACAATAAATATTACGCCTGATGATGTCCATATTTCTTCATTCGAACTCCGTCCAAAAGAAAAACGAAACATTTGTTAACGAGGAATGCCATTGAAAGATCTGCATCAACGGATCATTATATATCTACAACAACTAAACATGTATTTATCCATATTTTTGCGTGATTTTAAGGTGAACCCGCCATTGATTGCGACTCTGATTAAACGTTAAAGGCTTGAGACGGATACTTTCCATTTTCTGAGCGATGAAGCGACGATTACGTTGGAAGACGACGCTTACCAACTCAATGTTCCAATTAATGGTACGACTGTCGTAAGGCAAAACGACCGATTCAATATTGTTGAAGAAGTGTTGGGAAGGATGCTACCGCCCGAGGTTTTAGATGGGTATCAGATACAAATCATTTGGTTGGAGTTCGAATTTCAAGTGACGAACGACTCTATCGAGGAGAAGGTCATATTTACGGCTCGGGCGTACCTTCTCCAATTGATTGGAGGGATATTATTACCGAATAAATCCGGTAATTTGGCGCACACTCAATATCTACTTATATTGAATAATTTTATTGAGTGTCGTAATGATAGTTGGGGCTCGACGATTTTAGTTTTTTTATACCGGGAGCTATGCAAGGCAACAATCGTCAAAAGAGGTCAAAAAATTGACGTAACATGCTGTCTATTACTGCTACAATATTAGGCTTGGTATCGGTTCTAGTTTATGATGCCAATTACACTATATTCGGCTGAGTTTCCTCTAGCTACAAGGTAATTTTTTAACTTCATTTTAAACTATATTTTTTAATTTATTGTCTATTAGTATTTAATCATTTTTTTATATTTTTTAGATGACGCCAAAAAATAACCAAGATGAAGTTATCAGGTACAACTAAAATATATATACAAATGAGGATCGACATCGCCAATCGACATGCGGTAAATATTTAACTGCATTATATTAGTTATTTTATTATTCTTTTGTAATTGTTTAACTTTATATATACTAACGTTTATAATTAATGTTTACAGTTTTCTTTGTTTTCGTATTGTGACGAAGAGATCTATCAGTTACTGCCACTGGGATTTTTTGATGGGTCGGAGTTATGGTGCGCCATAACGCCATTATTACACTTTGCGATTGTTGAGATGCACGCCACAGATAGAATGTTATGATAGTTTGAGTCTCATCAACCAATTCTTAAGCAAATATTTGATATGGACACGCTCCACAGAATTGACACATGTTGGAAGCTTACCGAAAATTAGCCAAGGAATCACGCTTTCTACATTGAGCAATGAAATCAACGTCATGTATCAGTCCCCCTGCGTTATTAGATTACACCTACCTACCTAGATTTCGACATTTCTCCTTATCTCCAAAATTGCGAAGGAAATGGGAAACCATATCTCACAACATCGGAAGAGAGGGGAGAATGATAACAATACAAGTCTAGATTCACAAAGTCAAAGAAATCATCATCGACATCTTCGTCTTCTCCTTTTGCTTCTCATGCAATTTTGGTTTTTATCCTCCATACCATGTTTCAATGGAGATGCAACCGATTTGGGTTGGAGATTCATGAGATGCAATGCAAAACACTCAAGCATCTCCGACAGATGATGCGGGTGAGGGTGAATGCGATCATATCATTTATGGTCAACAACGTAGCCAAGTCGAATCAATGACAGAAATGATGGCGTCAAATACTATAAGTATCCCATCACCATATTTCGAAGGTGGATCTCAAAGTGGAGTGATGTTCAATACACCTCCTATATAGGAAGCAAACAAATATGTAGATAGAGACGATCAAGGTGAATGACCTCGACGTACTCAACGAGCCATGCGCCATTATCATTCGACCACTCCTCGACATCATCAAGAATCACAAAAATATAAATAAAATTTATTATGTATGTATTTTTTTGTAATAAAATTGTTAATTTACCTTTTTTAATTAATATATATATTTTAAATTAAATCCGGTCAAACTCGTCACCTTGGCAGCAGATGAAAATTTGAAAAGAAAAGAAATATCTTTATAAAACTAGAAAGAAAAATAAGAATAAATTCTGAGTTGTCTGTTTAAGCTTACTCCAAGAGGGTATTTATAGCCTCTAAAACCCTAGAGATAAATGCGTCATTATCATTCGACCACTACAAATGTTTTCTAAATTCAAACTTCAAAATTTAAAAATAAATCTCCTAAGATATCTCTGTCCGTCCACTTTTCAGAAGGCACTGATTAAATCTTCTAGAAAACTACTTTTTACTATGCAGGGCACTGTATATGTCATAGATGTGATTGTGGAACCATCATCCTGTTGGGTAATGATTTTGAATTTGGTTTTAGTTATGACAGAAGTTTCTGAAAATAAGATGCTAACATGACACAGATTACTGTCAAATGAAAAGATAAGGGAACAGCTTTGTGGACAATGTCTAAATCTTATAACAATGTTCCCTTACCCAAATTACCACTGGTGCATTGGTTTCTGATACTTCACTAGTTTATTATGTTTATACATCCAGGGCCTTTCAAAGCTGAGTCTCGAGTCAAGAAATGTATCTAGAAAGCTATTTGTCTGGTACATGAGCAGATTTGGAATTTGGCAATGTTCTATTACTTATGACGTGGACTAGGACAAGCTGTTATATGAAACAGAATAGTCACTGTTGGTTTATTGTGCCTCTAGTGAGATGCATAAGCATCTGGTTATTGATACTCCGTGGATAATTGAATGCTGTATCATATAAATATCTAGTTGGTTTTGGGGTTAAGTCTAGCTCCTTTATTGTTTCTTTTGTGCATTTTTTTTTGGCAAGGATGAGTTGAGCAGGGCAAAGGGGGAAAATCTTTATCTTCTGATAGTTTCCAATTTCTTGTTCTTGTGATTTTTTCGTGAAGCATTAAACTTGTATTTTAAATATATGAAGCAATGCCCTACAAATGAGCAGATGTTACTATTAGATAGCTAGTAGTTGTGCTTCCTCAGTCTTCTACTAGATGCTTTTGTACCAAAGTTAAGCAATGTGACGGTTTGATATCATTAATTAAAATATGGGTTGTGACATTTTGCTGCATCGAGGTAGTTTTCTTCTTAACATTAAGAAAATGGGTAGTGATCCTTGCTTTTTTTTCTTAATATTTAGTAAAATGGATTTTTTTGCGATCAGATTGGCGTTCTCAGAATGAAAAGAATAGAGCATATATATCAAAGTGGCTTAGGCCATCCCTTAGAATGTATGGAAGTTTTGAGAAGTCATCAGATGAGCTAAGATCCTTTTTCAGTGAAGTCAAGGTCTTTCTCAGTTCCTTTATTAGTATATGTTCCTTTCTTTTTTAAACTGTTAGATTTTCTTGTGCATGGACTTCGGTTTTTTACATAAAGTCTTTTCTCTGGCTTCAACTGTTTGCAGGACTTGGTTGCGAAGAACAAAGTTTGACCTCAACTTGAATAACTTCAATGAAAAATTTCCCTTCTAAGGATCAAAGCTGCAAATTTCCAGAAAGAGAAATTTGAAACTTAACCCGTCTATTCATTGTGGACAGCAACTATCTTCTTTGGCAAAATATGATGTTACTTCTCAAATGAAGCCTCAAAGTGATGTTGCAGCTCAGACAAAAATGCAAGCCGGTAAGGATGAGAAGACCTGCAATGAATGTATTGATCTAGAATGCAACTCTTCAAAAGATTCACGGTAAATGTCTGACGCCTATTCTGTACTTTGAAGCTTAAATGTAATAATAGCAAACTATATGCTTGCGCATGCCACTTCGCCGGTGAATCACAGTATAGCAATACTGGCTGCATCATGTTTAGGAAATCTGTGTTTGATCATTTGCTTTTGGATGCTGTTCAATATTATTACTTATCTAACAGTACGTAATTATTAATTTTTTTTAAGAATTTGAAACATCAAACTGGTATAATTGGCTTGGGAGCATCTTTTTTCAGGAGTTTTGAGGTTTCATCTATGACCCTTTCAAATGAAGATCGAGATGCAATCATGGTCCAGGAAACACAATTTGTGAATACTGGTATCTCTTTAGCTAGTCCAGGTTCCATAACTAAGGATAGTAGCTGTGGTTCAACAATAATTCAGGCCACAACTAAGTCTCCGGACCAATTTTCGTTTCATCCAATGTCAACAAGCCTGAATGAAGTTCCTTCTGTTTGTGGATCCAAGACAATATTCACCCATGAAAAAGATGCGAATCAGAACACAGCTGGGAACAAACCAAGAAACGAATCACCTTTGAATCTTAGTGTTTGTTCATATATCCAGAAGAGGAGGAAATCCATAGCTTCACCTTTCATTAACATTGCTGATGAAGAAGACAGTGTTACTCCTGCTCAAATTCCAGGTTCCATGAATTTTGAGGGACTAGCCAATGGAGATATGCTTCGCAGGATTGAATTTGGTTTTGAAACTAGCTCAGCTGAAAACGATTATCCGAAGGAATCAAATGTTCCACAGCCATTGGCAACCGATAATACTAATTTCTCGTCCCGTTATGGATAAAAGACTACAAATTTCCTGTTTACTCTGCCAAAGCCCTTTAAGCCGCCCTGAAAATCATTTGTATCTCAGTTTCTCATTGACCGTGTCTTCAAAAGTCTACTTGTTATCACTTTTCAAAGGGAGATTACTTTCTTGCGATTCAAATACGCCGCCAACTGTACCAGTTATCATAACTGACATTTCATCAGTTGATCCAAGATTCTGCCATGGAACTCTCGAACGTGACAGAGAACAGGGCATTTGGCGTGAAGAAGATGGATATGTATTCAAAAAGGTCTTTTGTCCCTTCTGCAGCAACCCTAACAATTGTCTTGGCGTGCGAATCGAAGCAGCTGATGGAAAAAAATGCGCAGTTGCTGAACAAGGTTGCCAAGAACTCTAATACCTTAGTGTCACAACTTTTATTTTTCTGATTCTTCAGACAGTTTAATCCTTTCTTATATTTTTAAAACGCTCTTCTGAAACTTTTTCATCTGCAGATAATGCTTTACCATGGAAGTGTGGTAATTAGAAATTCTGAAGCAGCAGAGAACCAGGCATCGAAGGATAAGGTAAGCTATAATAATACTGGGGGCCTAATGAATTCTTCCACCATTGACCTCTCGTGTGTATGCCATTATACTAAGACAACCGGGAATTTTACGGATAAAATGCTGAAATTTTATAGTTTCGCCTTCATCCAATTTAGGCGCTAAATCGCATGCTGTCCAAAAATTTGGAATTCTTTGCTAAAGTTAACATAGGGTTTGTTACAGGTTAATGTCTCCATCACGAAGAAGACTGCCAGTTTAAATTTCATTGATAAGTTCGCATATTCCCCCAAGCAGTCGGATTTGGGAGGATGGAGGACTACAAAATCGAAGGTAAATGCTTTGAGCTATGAATCACAGACCCTCCATTCCAAACCTATTTATTTTATTTTATACCCTATTGTGTTGCAGCTAAAACTTTCCAGGAGATAGGGCTGGACATTATCATGTCAATTGCATATAGCTAACTTTTGTTCTTTACAAAACCCTTGCTTGATGAAATGTGGGGAAGCCAGCGGGGTGTACATCTTGATGAATAGAGTATGTTGAGTCTGGTAAAAGCTGCAATTATGGACTTACCATACCCCATTCCAAGTTATGAAGCCGAGGTAAAATTAATGACTGATCGGGTTGACATATCTTTATTAATTTTACAAGGATTCTCTGTTATTGCCCAGTGTACAATATTAGGATATGGTACTTTCTCACGGAAGTTATTTCGTATTTGAAAAATAATGGTGAGGCACGTTTACACAATCTCACCACGCTGCACCGCCGAGTTTTAACTAGAGTTTAAAAAAGGTCTCACTCAAAAATTATTCTATCATTTTAAACCTTTTGTTTTAACTATTATAATTAGGAAACAAAATCATAATAGATCTCGTATTACATACTAATAAATTTATTAGATTTTTTTACTCTACATTATATATGTTTTATCTTTATGAAATTAATATCAAGTAAAATAATTAGTTAGAAGGTTAATAACTACAAAATATTATTTGATATTAAAATTATTAACTGACATGAAAATAATTCAAATAATTTCTTATTATCTACATATAATAAATTATTTTTGTTGTAGACATATATTTTTAAATATTCACAATAGTTATTCATCTCACTATTACTGTGACAAGTAAATGTATATACGCATTCTTTCATTGATTTTAATCTCAAGGGTATATATTTTGATCTTACTAATGAAATTTAAGAATAATATTATTCTTATTGTTTTTTATCCAAAAAGAACGGTACTGGATCCACGGTGAAACAAGAACGCGCTATCTAGCCTAGTCCAGTTCTGTTGAATGGATCCTGATTGAATAGAATCTTAAATTTTAGCCCAATGCTCAATGGTTAATGCCTAACGCCAATGCCAGAGCTCTCAGCCCATCCTCTAATTTTCATTTCCAGCGCAATTAAACCTTTTTTCTTTGAAGGGCAGCTCAATTAAACTTTAATTTGCAACTCTCTCTCTCTCTCTCTCTCGTTTTCCTTCTATCTCCCCTCATCCCTAACCCTACCTCACCAATCAGGTATTTCCCCTCGACCTTCGTTTTCGTAATTTTCCAACGAATCTTCCCTTCTTCATATCGATTTTTTTTTCTCTATTGATCTCCGATCTTAATTGCAGGATTCAACATGAAGGGAGGTAAATCCAAGTCAGATGCTAAGAGTGGCAGGTTCATTTTTTTCTCTTTATCTTATTCATATGGATTGTTCTGAGATCTCAGATCTAGATGAGGGTTATAAGTTTCTTGACGTTTCTCTGATTTGTTGACAGGCTCGCAGTGAACAGGAAATCAACCGCCAAAGCTGGAAAGAAAGCGGGGAAGGCAGCCAAGGATCCAAACAAGCCGAAGAGGCCTGCTAGTGCCTTCTTCGTTTTCATGTAATCATTCACAATTCTATCCTGTATATGTTGGGTTTTTCTTTATATTTTTTGGTGTCATGGAAAGCTCTGGCGTTTATATTCTTCGTGTAAACCACAATTGAAGAGGTGAATTGAATGAATCTTCTTATGGTCAAAGATAAATTCAAGCCCCAAAGAATTACTTCGTTGACTTCAGATCATATCCTTATATAATTCGGTAATATTGACATCTTATCTTTAGGGAGGAGTTCCGAGTGCAATACAAAAAGGAACACCCTAAAAACAAATCTGTTGCCGCTGTAAGTGTGAAATATTTTTTTTATTTCTTCTTTTTCAAGACGCAGTTTTCTTATATATCTAGTGTGGTCAAATTTAGGTCGGCAAAGCCGGTGGAGATAAATGGAAGAGCTTGTCTGATGCTGTAAGTATATGAACTCTTTTGCTGTGTTCATTTTTAGTATTCTTTAAAACGAAACATACAACTCTGTTTTCTGAATAATTTAATAACAATAAAATTCAGGAAAAAGTACCTTATATAGCAAAGGCAGAGAAGCGAAAGGCTGAGTATGAAAAGAACATGAAAGCCTACAATAAGAGACAGGTATTTCGCTTTATATTTCCAAATTAGTTGTTTTTTAGTCTTCTCTCTTGATGAGCTTGAAGTTTCTGTTTAGGGTTGTTAATAGTTCATGATCCTTTCCCTTGTTTTGGGATGACTACAGGATGAAGGTCCCCAAGAAGAAGAAGAACAAGATGCTGAGTCTGAGAAGTCAATGTCCGAGGTGAACGACGAGGATGATGAAGAGAGCAGCGGAGAGGTGAGTTTCAATAATTGTTGTTTTTGTTACCGATCTTGTTTGTTATTGAAATGTTTTTTTTCAAATAATTCAGGAAGAAGATGATGATTAGGAAGGAAGGAAGGAAAGATCGAGGGAGGAGATTTAGCATAATCAATATAGGCTGGTAATAGTTGTTTGATCATAATCTTATTATGGTATTGCTTTTGATGCTTCCCTGTTTCCTTTTAGATGGGCATTCCTGGCATCTAAAGGGGGAAATGTACCTCTAAATCCCGTTAGTTCCTTTCAACATTTGAGACATCTATAGTTGTAGAGGGTGGAAGATTTACCTATTGCTATATATACGCACTCTATTTTATAATATAATATTGATTTTGAAGTTGAAGAATGGCTTGGAAAAAAAATCCTTTTTATCCCTATAGTATTTTATTATATAATCACAACACTTTATCATACACGCTGGTATTATTATGATGGTGATGGCATAGCGTTTGATTCATTTGTTGATTAGAGCATTGAACAATCCATTTTTATATAAATTGAGATGATAATAATAGTCAATAAATAACAAGTTTGATTGAGGGTTTTAGAAGCGTCTATTATTTTGTATTGCATGGTTGTTTGCCTTGTAACTGACGCTCATTTTTGTGTTTGTGATTCTGTTTGATGGATAATAGTTGTAGTATTCATGCTTCTACTTCTTGTCTGAAAAATAGAATACAGTTTCCCTTTTAGTACTATATATATCGTCTTTGTGGCTACCCACATTTACGACCTGGGGCCATGTGCTTACGATTTTTTGTTCTTTCTTATTTTTGTTATTGTATCTGTCATTAGTTCTTGCCCTTACAACCTAACGAATTGTGATGCAATTTGGTATTTAGGGACTTTATTTATTTTCTGCTCTTGCACGAGTTTTTGACATGCTTTCTTTGTTTGTGGTTACGTAAGAGGGAGTTTTTTTGTTAGATATTGGTCGAAGGCCGAAGTTATTATTTGATTAATTATAAATATTAAATTAAAGTGCTTCAGTGTTGCATTACTCGGAAACAAATCATGTTTATTGAGAAAAATCGTGTTAGAGATGTAGTAACCAGTGAAGGGAAGTGGGATTGGGCCTTTTTGAGCCAATGATTTTAATATATTGGTGTTAGCCCATATCCTTAATGGTAAATATTAAATTTTTAAGGCGTTATTGCTTTAGCCTTTAGCCATTAAAGGAAATGCATTTGGTTCATGCTAAATTATTTATTATTAAGGTAGTTTCGTTCGTTCATATTCAATTTTTAATAGCGTCTGACTTAATATGTCAATATATCTGATAAAATTACTTTTCAGTCTTGGCATTCAAGCCAAGGTCTTTTAATAAAACCTCTCATGTACAGCTTTAAGTATACAATTACGTTGAAGATAATTATATTTATTTTACAAAAACACTTTAATTATAAATAATTGGTGTTATAGCTTTAATTAATGTTATAAAATTGATTGTTGGCGTAAATATTTGTTAATAAAATATGTTAATTAATATTATGATTTATGCTACAATGAATATATTAATATTATAAATACTGATAATCGGTTTTATTAGCATGGGGCTTGTATTGTTGTAAATGTCATTGATTTTACACATAGAAATTTGGGAGCCAATTTTATAGTTTTGTGTCTGCTCTCTTTGTTTTCTATTATTGTCTTTTTTTATTTCTTTTGGAGTTAATTGCATGAGGTTTTCCCCAAATTATGACCATCATTAAATGTCAATCCAAGTTTTTTTTTATTTAGGGTTTTAGGGTGGTCTAATTTTTTATTTTGGAGAATACGGTAAATGCTATAGTGTAGCTGTAACTCATCACATGAGTTCCCTTGAATATTATTTTTTAATGGACCTCGATGAGTGGGCTCCATGAGGATTATTATTTTAATGTCATTAATAGGACTTGTTGCCTTCATGTGACGAGTCGTTCAAATTTAAAAAAATAGTCGTTTTGTAGTCGTTGGTCAACGGGCAGTTGCAACAGTCACTTGGGCAACGGTCGTCAGATAAAATTATAAAAATTAAAATTCAAAAAAATTGTATTAAAAATAATTACAAAGTAAATCAATAATTTTAAAAAATAAATTATTTATAAAAAATTACAAAGGAAAATTATTTATATTTTCTAAGTTCTTGACGATGCCGAAGAGTGGTCGAATGATAATGGCGCAGGACTCGTCAAGTACGTCGGGGTTGTCGGCCTTGATCGCCTTCGTCATTGTCGTTGTCTTTATCTTGCCGAGGAGGTGTACTTAACACACTCTGATATCCACCTTCGAAATATGGTGATGTGCTTATGGTATTTGATGCCATCATAGCCGTTGTTGAATTGACTTGGTTGGTACGTTGTTGACCATATAAGATATGATCTCACTCACCTGCACCGGCATGTTCTGTTGAATATGCTTGAGTGTGTTGCATTGTATACTATGAACCTCCAACCCAAGTCGGTCGAGTCTCATTTGAAGTGTAATATGGAGGATAGAAATCGAAACTAGTATAAGATGCATAATAATAATCTTCAACTGCAGATGCTGGAGCAGAAGACGACGACAACGATGTTTTCTTCTTGGACTTGGCGAATCTGGCATGATGTTGTTCTCATTCTCCCCTCTCTTGTGGTGTCGTGAGATATGGTTTCCCTTTTGCTTCGTAATTTTTGAGATAGGGAGAATCGTCGAAATCTAAGTCCAACAGTGTAATCTCGTAACCAGTCAATTGTCGGTATGTTTCCCACGCGTATCAATTCTATGGAGCGCGTCCATATCAACGATTTACGTAGGAATCGACTGATGCGATGCAAACTGTCGCAAGATTCTATCAACGTCGTACCACTCAACAATCGCAAAATGTAATAACAACATTGCGACACACCATCAATCGAACCCCTCAAAAAAATATCGGTGTCAATAACTGGTAAATCTCGTCTTCAACATACAGAAGCCGAGAAAATTGTAAATATTAAATATCAAAGTTAATATATATATATATATATATATATATATATATATATATAAAGTTTAAAAAATTAAAAAAATATTAATAAAAGAACATATGTATACCGCATATCAACCCGCGATGTCGATTCTCATCCGTATATCTTTTGTAGTGGCACCCGATAACTTCGTCTCGATTATTTTATGACGCCATCTAAAATATTTAAAATTAAAAATTAAAAACATATAAAAATTAATTAAATTAATCAAATTAAAAAAAACATTTTAAAAAATAAGTTAAATATTACCTTCCAGTAAGAGGAAACTCAATTGAGTCTTATGTAATTGGCGTCAAAAATCGAAAATCGATACCAACCCCAGGATTATAGTAATATTAGACCTGCTATATCAGCTTTTCAACCCCGCTAGACAATTATAGCCTTGCAACGCTCTCGATGCAGAAAAGTTAAAATTGGCAAGCCCCAACTGGTATTACGACACTCAGCGAAGTAATTTAATATTCGCATATACTAAGTGTGCTCCAAATTACCGGATTTATCCGATAATAATACCGCTTCGATCAGTTGGAGAAGATATGCTCGTGACGCAAAATAACCTCATCCTCGGTAGAATCTGTCGTCACTTGAAATTTAGACTCTAACCTCTTCATCTGTACCTGATAGCCCTCGATGTCCTCGGATGGTGGCAGTTTTCCCAAAACTTGGTAGACCAACATAGCGGGGTCGTAATTGTTCTGTCTTACCACGGGGGCTCCATTCACAGGAACACTGAGTTGGTAAGCAATGTCTTCCAAATTAATCGTCTCTTCACCACTCGGGAAATGTAACGTGTGCGTCTCGGGTCGTCAACGTGCAATCAGAACCTCAATCAACGTCGGGTATACCTTGGAGCCACGTACAAATATGGTTGTAAATAGATCGAATTGCTGAAGATATATCAACATCCACTTATGCGGATCTTGGTATGTCATCCTGCACTAACGAATATTCCATTCTTCTTCTTGTTGGAGTTCGATCGACGAAATATTGACATTATCCATGTGCAACATTTCTTATCGGGAATCCATTTTTCTGGATTTTTTATAAGGTAGGATTTTTTTCATATTTTTTTTGAATTTAGAGTTGGATGAAAAAGTAAAACCCAAAAATCCTATTTATAGCATTAGCCTCAATGGCTATAACTGTTGCAACTGGCCGTTGATTGGCATCTAATTTTTTTTGAATTCAAATAAACTCGTCATCTCGAGGTGAAGAGTTTCTCTAATTTTTTTTACAATTTTAAAACTTAAATTATTTTTATAATTTTAAAAAAACATTTTCTATTAATGACATTAAAATAATGGTCTTCATGGGACTCACTCATCGACGTCTATTAAAAAAATATCTAAAGAAACTCATCACCTCAAAATGACGAATTTCAACTACACTGTAATATTTATGTATTTTTCAAAATAAAATCTTAGTGACTTTATAACCCTAAATAAAAAAAAACCGTCTGGTCTATTGGAAAAAAAAACCGCAATAACACATGTGGCCTATAATATACATGGTTTTAATAGAAAGGCCCGTATCGTAATATTACATTAGTTAAGAGTTTTTACTGGGTCCCCACCCCCGCGTCCACCGGGTGCTCTCTGCCCTTCTCTCTGCAGCTTCTAGGCTTCAGTTTCCAATCGATGTAGACGAATATCAGCTCGCCCTCTCCAGTCCTTAAAAGGTTTTCTTTCATCCATTAATCCTTTGATTTCGACATGCTCTTATTATCCGAACCTCTTATTCTCCTTTTATTACTTGCTATTATTGTTCTTTATAAAAAAAAAATTATTGTTACCCGACCCTCTTATCGGAACTAGGGTTTCTTAAATTCCATTTGCTCACCTGGTCATTGATCTAATTAAATTAATGCCAAGTTTGAGGGATGTTTTGTGTATTATGGCTATGGACGAACCTCTTTTTGCTAAAGGTGCGTATTTTGTTTATAATAGCGGTTTCGTCCTGTATCACTATAAATATTGAGAGAAGAATTTACGGAGTAGTGCTTCGATAGTGCGCATGATTGACCACTGTTTATCAAAGTGCTCTTCTTGCTAGCTAACCATTTATTTTGGCTAGTCCTTCACTTAATGATTATAGATTTGTGCTTTCGGTTTATATTTTTCGGCTCATTTTGTACAAACTGTAATGCAATCTTTTGGTTATTTGTCATTAAATTGTTGGTGGTGGGAAGAGGGATAAAAATGATTCCGTGTAAAATATTGTTATGACTTTTAAATTGTGGTGCAAACGCGTGATGCTTACACTTGATCTCTGAAATTCAGGTAAGTTTACCTGTTGAGAAGTATATGTACTGATGCACTTCTGATTTCACTGCATTTACCAAATTACTATGGATCGT